ATTACTTTATTTTTTTAATATATAATTTTAAGTGTATTTGCTTAGAAAATTTTATTTGTAGAAAACAATCAATTTTACTTAATTTTACCATAAAAAAGTTTGTTTTTTTAAACTGAAACAAACAGATTTCAGACATCATGTCGTATTTCCTTTTTTTTTTTCTTCTACATTTCTTTTGTAAACAAACATTTCACATTTATTTCCTAAAACTAGTCAAATATTTTTAACATTTTTGTTCATTCTTTTTCTCTTACAATAGTATAAATGTTGATGAAATTTAATTTTATTAACATCTGAAAGTCTTTTTTCAATAGTGTTTCTTTGGATATGGTCACTCAGTAGATAGCACTTAAACCAAAATGATTTTGGTTTGATGGTGTGAAGAGGAAACCAAAAAAAAAAGTTGGTATTTTGGTTAAACCACCCATCGTTTGTTCTCTGTTCAGCCATTCCTCCAACCTTGTCATGTCATTGCACTCCAACCACAAGGAAATTATTTTATTTTAGAGTTTTGGTTACAGATCAAATCTTATCAGTCTTATTTTGTGTTTCCGTAACCAGTACTTTGGAGCTGGGTCATTGATAAGTTGTCAGCTTAAAGATCACCACATGGCTTTTTGTGGTAATATCGCCTTAAGTAATTTTTCTGGTTTTAAAGAATTAAGCTATTCTTGAAAAAGAAATCTTCACTCTTTTTCTTGGTCTGTCCATCATTCTATTCATTAAAGGGTTAATGAATGATGGACAGAGCAAGAGAAAGAGTGAAGATTTCTCTTTTCCATTTAGCAGCATTAAATAGTGTCACAATGATATTGGCCCATAATATCATAGAATAAAAGTTAAACCTTTCCATCAATAACTGATATATATTTTTATTTCCTTGTTACAGTTAGTAGCTAAGTGGCTGTCTGGCAAAATGGCATCTGATATGAAAAATGCATAAAAAAAAAAAAAAAAAAAAAAATATGTCCTTCAATGAATTCCTCCATGCAGACAAGATATTTGACAGTTTAATGTCTTTGGAGATCAAAGAGTGGATGTGAGCTCAGTTAGGAAGTGTGTAAAATGTGTCAGCAGAAATGGTAGCTATATGCCCAACAAGCCACATTCTGAGCAGCCCTATACAGTTGTCAATCTATAAAACCAGCATTCTTCATTGGCAGAAACATAGCCAATGGTAGTGACTATATAAAAAAAAATAAGATTTTGTAGCCAGAAATGCTACCTATACAACAGTACCATGGAAATGAATGAGGCATTAGTTTTGGAGCACCCCCATGGCAGTTACAAAGCAATATGAGAAATGCTCACCTGGCCATCCCCTTATGGTCAGCATACCAAACTTTAATTCTATCAGCCCACATTTCAGGAGTCATTTGGTATTGGTCAATCACTCTTTGAGGAAGCAAGTCTTCATTTGACAGCATTCCTGGCTTACAAGCCACTTCATCATAATCACCAAACTATAAAAAAAATTTTTTTTTTAAAAAAATAAAAAAGAAAGAACAGAAATGGTTGATATTTATTCTTGATATGAATTGGTTTTCATTACAGCAACAAATTTAACAAAAAGACCTAATGAAAACCTTAGGTTTACCTATTGTCCGGTTCGCACTTTTGAACAGGAGGAGAGGTTTATCCCTTGTTTCTGGTTTATTATTGGGTTTCTGGATCCTTCTAAAATCTATTCCCGACACACCCGCCTGAACTCAACTCTATACCCGCCTGAACTCAACTCTATACCCGCTTGAACTCCTGAAACTCAACTCTATACCGCCTGAACTCAACTCTATACCGCCTGAACTCAACTCTCTAACTCAACTCTGCCGCCTGAACTCAACTCTATACCCGCCTGAACTCAACTCTATACCCGCCTGAACTCAACTCTATACCCGCCTGAACTCAACTCTATACCCGCCTGAACTCAACTCTATACCCGCCTGAACTCAACTCTATACCCGCCTGAACTCAACTCTATAACTCAACTCTATACCCGCCTGAACTCAACTCTATACCCGCCTGAACTCAACTCTATACCCGCCTGAACTCAACTCAACTGAACTCAACTCTATACCCTCAACTCTATACCGCCTGAACTCAACTCTATACCCGCCTGAACCATGAAATTTTATTTACTATTTAATTTTTTTTTTTTTTCTCAATAGAAGTAAATAGGTTTGCCTATAGTCTGGTCACACTCTTCCCTAGTTTTTTGAACAGGTGTAGAGGTTTATCCTTTGTTTCAAATTATGTTTCCAGTTACTTCTAAAGTGTCATTCTCTTTCAAGTAGTCCCTTGCATTTTTAGTGACATTATCACCTTGCTTGATGTGAATTGATTAAGAAATAAAGAAATATTGGTTAAGATTAATTATTTTGTAGTTACTGTCGGATTAAACTAAATTCCTTTAGTTCTAACTACCATTTTGGATAGCATATAAGACACTTTCATGACTATATTATATTATGAAATGGCGTTATATACAATTACTAGTAGCTAATCATGCCTGTGATGAGAGGTTGGGCCTACAGCACCTGAGATAAGATGTCTGGCCCACAGCATCTGGCATAAGATGTCCAACACACAAGATACTTCAACTTCTTATACAAGACCTGTGTGATATTTCTTGAGCCATTTTATGAATGAAAAATAGGAGTCAGACAGACTTAAACCCCATTTAATACAATAACTCAATCAAAAAGCCTGATTTTAATTATAATTGAGATGGCAGCCATAATTGAGCATTTTGTTTTGTTAATGTTTCATTTTTTTCTTTTTTAATTTAATCAAAATTGGCCTGTTTCTAAAAATGATGGAAGAAAAATAAGAAACATTTTCAACATATTTTTTTATTTTAAGAAAGGTAAAAATACAACTAACATGTACACTTCATAGAGAGAGATTGAAATATTAAAAGTAGTTTGTGAAATGTCATACTAGAGATTCCTAATTGAACAATGTCCCATCATCAAGTAAACTAGTTTAGATTTATAGCAATCAAATGAAGACATTTCTTTATAATACTCAACATTCTCAAAATATCCATATCAATTGCTGAAAATCACTAGCTTATTTATGTTTGATGAATGACTTCCATATAAGTTAAGCATAATACTTTCTGAACATTCTATTGTTGTTAGATGGCATTAGTAGCATTTAGTTTAAAAAAAAAATATTAATCACTTTTGATTGTTTCTGAGAGTTGTCATAGCAGTAGACTTTTTTTTTTTTTTTTTTTAGAAATTCAAAATTTTCCTTATAGATTCTAGCATTGAAGAAAAATAATTTTTTTTTTTAATCATTTCACCTCAACAGAATACAAGAAAATATTTAGAAGGAATATTAATAAATGATCCATATACACACTTCATATCAATATTCATAAAAGTTTGTCTCATCAATTCCTTTTTTTCTACAGCTTATCAACACATTGCAGGTTATTTAAAGCTAGAAGATATTTTTAAATCATAAGAATTTTTTTTTGAGATAACAATTTTGAGATAAAAGTCTTACTAATTAACCCATAGCTGGGGGAGAATAGGTGGATTCATACCTTTCCCCAATGTGCATAAGAGGTGTTGCAGGCTGGTGCACACACAGAGAGATAAAAACGTGTCCCCCCTGAAATGCTCACAACCAACATGGCACACTCAGGATACAAGTCCATGTAAAAAACGACAAGAACCTATATATATATATATATATATATATATATATATATATATATATATATATATATACACACACACACACACACACACACACACACACACGAATAAATAATAATGTATTAACAACAATGGATTACAGATGACAAAGACGTGTGTCAAATGAATCTGAAAACTTTTGGTCCAAAATGTGTCGTGAGTGAGTCAATAATATGCGTATGTACATGTGTGAGTGTGTATGTATGCAATGTTCCTGCATTTCCCAAAAGGGAATGCGTTCTTCCGCAAGAGATTTACCCTAGTAGCAGTTTCAAAAATTACGAGGAGGTAACCAGATAGTACAGTAGCAAGAAATGTATACATTTTAATTAGGTGGGGGGGGGGGCAGGGAGCTAATTCACCAATAGTCATATTGGGGGATGTGACAGAGGATATAACAAACCTACCTGGAATTGGAACTCGACTTTCTGATTAACAATTCTGAGCTATTATCCATTACAATGCTTGCATATCCAAATTTACAACACCTGGTATTCCCAAGCGGTCACCCATCTAGGTACTAAGCAGGCACGACATTGCTTAAGTTTGGTGATTGTAGTCCACTTGTCAGGAGGTTTCAGCAATTGACTGTTGTTTTTTCACATTTTTCATTATCTTTATAAATTCATTCATGCATTATTTGGGATGCTCTTGTTACAGGTGTTAGTGTGTGCGTGTCTCTCTCTCTCAAATGTCGTAGTTATTCCTCTTTTTCATTATTTTCTTGTCTTATACTCTCTGCTTATTCCTTCTTTTTTCTCTTATGGTTTTGCAGACTTACCATTAAAACAGGAATAAATGGCGCCATCAGCTGAGATATAATGTTAATAACTGACTGGTGCCTAAAACCCTACCAAGTTTTTTCAGCAAGATGGCAGAAAGCAAGTTAAAACTCAACCGGAACTGATATGCAACCAACAGAGTTTAGAGGCTTGAACATGTCATTCCCCTTTTATTGGCCACGCGGAGCCCCTGCCGTCCGTCCAACCACTGGCCCCAGAATAAAAATTCAATAACCCAAATCAAGAACACAGAGAGGCTGAAAAAGGACACACCTACTCACTGTCATCCTGACAGCCCAACCCTGGAGGAAGTAATGACTGTCCCACTGCAAAGAAGTACCAGACTGAAGGGACTAGCCCCCTAATGTCACCTTTGTAATCTGGAGATCAATGAAGAGTGTGACAGACACTTGTTTTAGGTGAACTTCAGTAATAATAAAAAAAAAAGGCATTCCTAATGTAATTGCATAAGAACATCAAAAATCATTAAGAAAGAGAACAAAGACATTACCTTTGCTTGGACAGCATAAGACGCTAACAAGACGGACGCTTCTGGCGGACAATATATGTCCATATTGAGTATGGATTGTTTAACTTGCAGAAAAAATAGATGTTGAGTTATTTCCTGGATTAGTTCCTCGGAAACATCAGCTGGATAGAGCTTGGCAAGAAAGAGGAACGGAATTGGATTATCTTTCGGCACATCTTGATTCATCACCTGATCAGAAAGAGGAACAGTTCCAATATGTCATTAACTTATACAATTAAGAAAATTAAGTAACTGAATAGAGGAAAAAAAAAAAAAAAAAAAAAAAAAAAAATGGCTGAGACACATAACACACTTTAAAAACAAAAATAAAAATGTGGTACCCCTTACAAATGCAAGTATCCACTATAACTTTAGAATCAAATTATTGGATTAAAAATAAATCCATTAATTCTTTAGAAATTGCTTTGTTTACATTTCAGATACAAAACTGAGCAGGTATGGACTTTTGAGAAAAATAATATGAACAAATAAATGTTCTTTCCTTAAAAAGAGGAAAAAAAAAAAAATATATATATATATATATATATATATATATATATATATATATATACAACCAATTAATTACATCATACATATATAACAAATACAGCACTAAATCAACCTTTGAACTTATACAAATATTAAAAACCTAATAATGAAACCATAGCATGACTTGATAATTGAAAATCTAAATTGTAATATATGGAAAATTATTTGGGAATATGAAAGGATTCTGATCAAAATAAGCAGACACAGCTTATTCAAATCAGACATGCGTAAAAGAATTTGCTATATAACATACTTAATATGCTATATTATATATATATATATAACATACATATATATATATAACATACTTAATATGCTACATTGACTGCACAACTTGATATAAAAAAAATGTATGTAAAGTTGTGCTTGCAATCAATATAGCATCATGTATGAAAAAAAATATTTTGTCATTTCTTTTATATAGGAAGGATACATATATTTATATGTATGGCTTTTATAATTATCTTAATCATTTCACTCTATACAAGGCAATAAAACCACTAAGACACAAGGAGTTAGTGTGAAAGAATAAGAAAACCTAGAAACATTATTATGGTGCAAGAATAGAAAAGTAATCAGGAAGACAGTAGATAAATGATTGATATTGCATTTAAATTTTTAAAGATCAAAGTTGGCTGGAAAGCATGGAGCCAGAAGTGAATTCCACAAGCAAGAACTTACATCTTACCACTTCAACTGTAAATTACCATGAAAGTATTTATAAAATTTTAATAAATATACATCCCCACACTCCACTGGTAGCACAACTGAATTTCATGCACAATTTAATTTTCAGATGCTGATTGAAAACTGACCATTACATAATTTAAATTTGTACACACACAAAGGTTGCGATGGGTAAATTGTCGCCATTTTATATTTTTAATTTTATACATGCACACTGTTTTTGATTTTGTTGACTGCACACTATAGTAAGGTCAGCTGGCCACTATCTGTGAGATAAAAAATACCATAACACAATTCAATGTACCAAAAATTTGGAAATGGCATGCTGTACTGATGCCAGAAGTGCCCATAGAAACATTTCAAAGTGTTTGGGTGTTAATCTGAGGACAATCGAGAGGATTCAGGAAGAGTTGGAGGAGTCTAATGGTGATTACGAAGGTATGGTGGCTCCGAAAACTGACTAATAAGAACTCACAATTTTGTTGGTGACGGTTTCAGATGAAGGCCTACATCAGGTGCCTTGAAGAGATAGTGTTGTCCTGGATCAAGATCCTATAACTGGCAACAGGACTGCACCATGCCACACAAGCAGAAGAACCCAGTCATGACTGCTAGACAATTTCTTCTGCGACCACATCACCCTTTACATCTAGTTACCCAACTGCCCAGACTGGAGCCCCCTTGATTATTATGTGTGAGGCACAGTTGAATGAGAGACCAACAAAACTCCTTGTAACACCAAAGATTAACTGAAGGCAACGATTATGGCAGCATTCACCAACTTAAACAAGGAGACCATCCAGGAGATATGTAGAAGATTCCAAAGTAGTCTGAATGCTGTAGATGCAGCCAATGTTGATTTTATTGAATAAATTTACTCTTTAGTTTTTCAAGATATTTTGTGTCATTTTGGAAAATATATCTGCTAAAAAAACGTAATGTCGGTATTATTTTAAATTTTGTGTCATTTAGACGACAATTTAACCATCGCACCACACACACACACACACACACACACAAAAAAAAAAACAAAAAAAACACAGGGCAGTTGACAAAAACAAACATACGCAAAATTAAAAATGTCACACATGATTATTTCAAACTTCCAGCTTTCTAAAGAATACCAGGACGTAGACAAAGGTTTTCTATCACCCAAAAACCACATCAGTTCTTGATGAATGCAAAAGTCATAAGTACTTTAAAATAACAAAATATGAATTTCAGACAGAAATTCATCCACAACTTCTCACAATACTCAACATCTTATCTGAAAATTGGAAAAATTATAAAAAAAAAGAAAATATCAAAAACAGACAAACCCTGTTCTTTTTAATCAAATGAGTTTGGATGAATATTTACTGCCTAAATATATCACACAAACACATGAGATAAGATATATTTTATATATCAAGAAAAATATTGGGGAGTATATATGACAAAGTAGAAAAAGTTTACTTGTGACGAGTTTCGTCCTTCAGGACTTCAGACTAAATTTGTTTTGTTGGTACAACTACACATGCACACAAACGAGGGGTGCTGGGGACCTTAGAGTTTTTTTGTTTTATACATCTAGCCAAATTCATTTAGGGTCTTTCTTTTTCTTTCCATAGCTTTTGTTATTAGATATCCCACAATGTGATAAGAGAAGATCTGCCAGAAATGTTGAAATGTTGTAAGAGCCAGTGCACAAATTTACTGTTGATGACCTTGCGATCAAAGAACTCTCTAGACTTTTATGCTGTAGTGAATTGTTTTCTCCTTTGATCAGAGTAGTATTTTTTATACAGACCACAATTTTGACATAAAATCACAACTACATAAATGTCTAGAGAATGCCTCGATTGCAAGTTCAATGAAGTTCTAAAAGTCAAAACATGTCACAACTTTTTCCACTTTGTTATACATATTCCCCCTTTATATATGATGAATAATTAGAAAAAAAAAATTTCTTTCTCCCTCATGTGGAGAATAGGCAATTTTGACAGATAAAATTGACCGTCTGTCTTTTCAACCCTGATTATCATATTGCTCTGTACAAATAAAATACATCAAGCTCTCTTTTTGTGGATCAATTTTAACATTTTTATATTACTAGGACCCACTTGGATTATACAACCATGGAATTTATTTTACCATTATATATATATATATATATATATATATATATATATATATATATAAGAAATAATCATACATAGAATCAATCAGCAATATTAATGCGATTAATGGTGAAATCCCTTCGCTAGTAGAACATAATGTATGCATTAAAATACTGTTAATCGATTGAATGCATATGTGATCCTCATTTATAAAACTGTTGTCAGATGTTTCTAGTGTATATTTTTTTAAGTTAAGCAAGTACTTTCGAAGAATTATTCCTTCATCGTCAGGCTGTAATTTTTCCTTTAAAGTTAAAACTTGAAGACAAAATAATTGTTTGTAGAATGAAAGATTTTTTTGTTTAGGATTGGGTTTCTGGTTCCTTCTAAAAGCTATTTATTGACGGTTGTACAATCTCGGAACGTCTTGAAGTCTTTCATTCTCTTTCCTCCCAAGTAGCCCTTGCATCTTGTTGGCATTATCAACACTAAAGTTCAAAATTACAAGTGAGAATTTTTTATATGAAATTTGTAATATGGTAAATCCATGAATTCTTTTTTTCCAAGTATTTTTCAGTTAAATGGCATGAACGGAGTATATAGTTCAATTAATATAGTGATATATCTTAGATTTTTTCTCAGGAATTTTGTACTGCGGATCAATTGTTTTTTTATAAACATATTAAATTAGGCAGCATATATTTTATATATAAAGAAATAATCATACATAGAATCAATCAGCAATATTAATGCAATTAATGGCAAAATCACTTCGCTAGTAGAAACATAATGTATGCATTAAAATACTGTTAATCCATTGAATGAGGTGATCCTCATTTATAAAACTGTTGTCAGATGTTTCTAGTGTATATTTTTTTAAGTTAAGCAAGTACTTTCAAAGAATCATTCCTTGTAGTAGTAATCTTATAAGTATAAGAAATTATACTCGTTCGGAAAACCTTTCCTGATCATCCACTTAGGTGAACCTTGGTAGGTTTGTCTGGCTCTCTAGGTTTATATATATATATATAAAAATGGCCATCTACTCATTAGATAAGAATGACTCTAGCAGACAGGTTGACTCATGACAGATTGTTCCTATAAACATGAAATCAGCAGTATTTTGGAACATAGCAAGAAACATATAGACTGTACAGAGTATTGTGACAGATCTAGAAATAGATTTTCTCAAGCAAAACTGTACACCATTATCCAGCCACGGTATTATCCTTCTAATAAAAGTTACTAATCTAATAAAAAATTACTCTATAAAAAATTTGACAAACATGGAATTATGTGCACACAAATAAGATGACAGTTTTTCCCCATGACACCATTTTTAACTACCTTCACTCTTTGGCAATGTTTGTTTTAAAAAGTGAGGATTAGAATGGAATAAAACCTAAACATATAATGAAAGGGAATTTAGACTTTTTTTTTTTTTTTTGGTTCTTGAGAATTTACAAAAATATTAAACACTATTTATTATATTAAACAATCTAATAAATACAAACTAATAAGTTACAAGAATAACTTTATATTTACAACATTCTAAAGATTAATACAATTAGAATGAATGCAATATTTATCATTTACCAATTTATAAAGAAATAAATACAAAAATAAAAAAATAAAAAAATAAAAATGTATCAATTCATTTTCATCTATGTCTATATTTCTGAGATGAGGTGTTACGTACACTATTTACATTATTCGGACTATTGTCTTCATCTTTGTTGCCATATTTATCACAATGTTTTGTCCAAAACGTTGATTGTGATAAATATGGCATCAAAGATGAGGACCATAGCCTGAATAATGTAAATAGTGTTCATTTTCATGCGTTTAGTATTTATTACAATTATAATCCTTGCTTTTTTTAAACAAATATCGACAAAAAGTGAAAGTAGTTAAAAAAGTAATGTCTTATTGCAGCTGTGTAAGTCCAAGTTTACCAAAAATTTAATTATAATTAAAATGAATCTATTGTCGAGGATTGTGGAAAAGAAGTAGAGATTTATCCCTTGTTTCCTCTTTAGGATTAGGTTTCTGGTTCTTTCTAAAGTTTACTTTGACTACTTCTGACATCTCTGCTTGAAATTTTATTTTTTATTATTTTTCCTCAGTAAGAATGGGTAGGAATGTGAACCAGATGATAGGTAAACCAGGGTTAACCTATAATCTGGCTCACACTCCTATCCAGTCTTTTGAACAGGATTAGAGATTTATCCCTTGTTTGTTGTTTAGGATTCGGTTTCTGGTTCCTTAAGTCTTTTCCTTTCTCTCCCAGGAATCCCTCAAGTCTTAGTGGCATTATTGCCTTGCTTTCGGCAAATTGATTAAAAAAAAGAAAAATAAAGAACTTACTCTTTTATCAAACTTAAGCCAAGCAACGTATCCTTTAGAGTCAACATATTGAAGACCAAAATACCAAGATTCCCGTAAGCCAATTGTTCGACACACCATCTCGAAAAGTTCCTTCCCGGTTGTCCTGGACTGGGCAAAGAAAAAAGAAAAATATCAGTTATTTCTTTGAATAACAAATTTTCACAATCACATCATTTAAATAAGTAGTCTCTTGTTTTAAGAGCCCCCTTTCATATTCAAATGTAAACAATTATATAAACAGCTTGTAAACATGCAACACGACCCTCAAACAAGCTTTCCACCAACCAGCCAACGATCACCACCCACCATATTGAATTTCAATCCTCATTCATCAAAAACAGGGAAAGAGTACACTGTGTGGGTACAAGGTAAATGCAATGAAAGAAGATGCCACACTGAGAAATAACAATGCAAAACGTGTTTCCCATATTTATCAGTAAAAAAAAAAACCAAAAAAAAACCTGATCTTCCCTTAACTAGACATAAAACCATTAATCATAATACAAATAGGCTATTTTGCCAGTCCCAGTAAAATAGACACTATGGCTATTTCACTAGTAAAGATAATGTTTGAGAGCTAAGAATATATTATATTTGAGATCATCAGCATAGTGGTTGTGTGAGCTGTGTAGGTAGGACTTGAACAACATGGCTTCTGTGGTCTGTGACAGTTTTCTTCAGTGGGTGCACCTGAAGTGTATTGAGAAGAGAACCATGCCCAAGGGAAAGTTTTGGATTTGCAGAGACTGTTAGGCCTAAAGTGCTTAAAATATTCAGAGATTTCTATTTCTTTTAATAGTCGATGATGAATAAATGTTTTTAACTTGTGTTTTAACAATTGATGGTAGAAAAAATTTTAAATTGTCTCAACAATTGATGGTGAAAATAAACTTCTGTGTTAAATCCGTGTTGTTATTTTGAACATAACCTGCCTTCATAATACAGAGCAACCTCAGTTCTAGAACGTCTCACATGTTGAACAAATCAGTTTTCGAACAGAATATTTGAGATGAAAATGCGGTTATCAAACAAAATTTTGGTTTTCGAACAACATTACCAAACTGAGCCAAACCAAGCTAACCCAAACAGAATCATTTGAGTCAACTGTCATGTTTTTTTTTTCTTTTCCAATTGTTTTTCTCTTTATTAGTCCTTAGTCATGTCGCCAAAGAAAGCCAGCAGTGATACTAGTAAAGAAAGAAGAAAAGTTAAGAGAAAAACAAAACAATTGTTAATGATATTATCTCTATGATGATGATGATGATGACGATAATATTGTCTCTTCCTACTCAGTTTCATATGGTAAAATCAACAATCTATACTATTCTTATAAATAAAGAGATGATCATGTCTTTCCTTTTCCAAACAATAACATCTTTCCTTCCCCATCCACCTATGCCATCAACTCTCCTACATAAAGGTATGGTAAAAATTAAAGTGTTTGTTTATATTTTATCTGTTTAGTATTGGGTTTTTTTTTTTTTTTCTTAGATTTGATGATTTTGATTAGCGTTGTGTATAAACTTGTGCACAAAGTAATAAATAAACATTAAAATTTAAAATAAAATTAAATAAACAATCATCTTGGGACCAGGAATGGATTAATCCATTTTACATCGATTCCTATTGGAAAAATATTTTTGGTTTATGAACGGGATTCAGAAATGAATTAAATTCATGAACTGAAATTCCACTGTAATAATATTTACTGGCAAAATAGCCTGGAGGTCTATTTTGCTGAAACTGGTGAAATAAGCTTAAATGCATGTTTGTCTATTTTACCAGGACCAGCAAAATAGCCTCTTCCACCATAAAATCTTTGGTGACCTCAAATTTATATATTTAAATGCAATTGAGTGAATGCAGATTCTTACCTTATGACCCTATAACCCCTATAAATATTAAGGAAACGATGGAAATATTCAGTCTACATTAATCCACGATTTAGAAACAGTTCTTTAGGTTTTTGTTTTTCCAACCAGCAATATGCTTTTTGGCTGGATTAATAAATTCTCAAAGAAAAATAAGCAGTATTTTTAAACTGGTTACAGAGCTGGGGGGAGGGAGATGTAAAAACAAAATTCTTTTTCAAACTTAATGAGTTTCACAGATTTAAAAACTAAAGGCAAGATTGTCTAGTTGTGAAAAAAAATTTCAGTATTTAACTTAATATCTTTCGAGACTGAGAATGAAGTTACCAAAATATTTAAAGAAACATTTTTTTTTTTACAACTGTATTCAGAGAACATTTTGAAAATAAAAAATTAATTCACTGCATAAAAGCTTAAAAGAAAAAAAAAAAAAAAAAATTTATGTTATAAAAGTTTAAAAAATATAAATTTAAATGTAGTGCCCTCAGACATCTATGAATCGGGGAATTCGGAACTGAACTCATTATTTAATCTATGGAGGGAGTAGACTGTTCCTGTTCCACTGTTCATGCCTCGGGATAGTTCTTATTTTGTATTGAGTACTGTTCAGTTATTGGTCGCACATTTCCACTGAGTGCAACCCAGGAATTGAACTTGTCACCCAATTCACAAGCCAACACTTACCCACTAGGTTATTGTCCTGTAGAACCAAAACATGATAACAACAAAGATGAGGACACTAGTTTGAATGTAAATAGTGTAAATAATAACTCCTCATCCCAGAAAATCAGACAAGAATTAAAAGATAGATTTATTTGAAGAACAAAGCAACTCTAAAAGCCATCCGCAAATCAAGCAGTAAAAAAAAATGTTAAAATGTTTTAAGAGCCAAAGGCGCAAATTTACTGTACATGACCTTGCAATTAAGGCACTCTCTAGACATTTACGTTGTAGCTTAGAACATTTCACCATTCCTGGAAGATCTACCACAGTGTGGTGGAATACCTACTTACAAAAGTCATGGAAAGAAAAAAGAAAAATGTTCTAAATGAATTCGACTAGATAAAAAAAGAGAAAATAAATTAAATTAACAGCACCCCTCCATCATGTGCATATGTAGTCCTACCAACATAAGATATGTAGTCCTGAAGGACAAAACATGTCAAAAGTAATCTTTTTCAACTTTGTCATACAATTCCATATATATATATATATATATATATATATATGATAAAGTATAGTTTTATGGTATGCTATATTTATGGGTTAAAGTGCTCAATATCAGGAATAGAGTTTACATAAATATGAAAATGAACACTAAAGTCATCAACAAAACATAGTAATAAATACACAAGCAAATAATCAATAAGAAATAAAAAAAAAAGTTAACTAACGACACTATAAAAAACCAAAAGAACTGCATTTGGATCCACAATTATTCCCTCTCAAAAGAATAATACAAAATAAACCATTATAATCATACAATAAACTACCCACAATGCATCACTAACTGGTTACATAAATAGTCAAGCAAAAACACAATGCATATGGCCAGATGATTGCATTTAGTATGAAAAAAACAGTCACCAGGTAGTGACTTCAATGTCCCCTTTATATTATATATATATATATATATATATAAATAAATAAATAAATAAATAAATAAATAAAAGGGACAAGCATGTGTATGCCACTTATACACAACACAGGACATAGAAAATCACTTGCTGCAGACACTGTGTGATGGACAAAGAATTAGCTTCTCTTTTATAATTCAAATTATAAGTGTAAATAACCAAGTGATCCCTACATTTTTCAAACACCTTTTACCAAGTTCAGAATCAGTAGTGATGTTGAAGTATTAAACAAAAGATGGCTTTATGCTGACAGCCTAAATGTATTCATCTGTTTGAAAATATTATCCGATTACAAAGGTGTTTTTATACCGAATAAATTACGTGATCTGCAACTCTTTTCAAACCGTACTATGCTATTTAAGCGGAGGTCATCTTACAACTGCTTAGACTTTACTCGGTAATTTATTTCTAAATTATTTGGAACTCGATAGCTCTTGAAACGTTTTTGCTTACTATCAAATTGGGAATAAGCATGGAACAGTCAACTTTAGAGCTACAGAATTAGACAAAGTGTTCTTTGAAGCAATTCCAATCAGTCAATAAATATAAGTAATGTTCGGTAGTGGAAGAAATAATTGTCCAAGATGATAACGAAGGAAGTTTATGGATTTTCTTTGAAGCTTCTTACAATTTTTGATGATTTAGGTTCACTAAAAGCAATACTAATGCAAAAGGATATGTACCTAGGTTTTATTTGAAATTTGAAAGATTTAAAACTTTACTAAACATTAAGTTGTACAAAAATGAACTGCTCAAAATTTCACAAAATTAAATGTTGAGTAGGTAACAGATGTAAAAAATGATTTTAGCAAAATTTAAATAAAAAAAATTTCTAAAATAATTTCATTCATTTGTAAATAAGTCCCAAATGTTTCATTTAAATCCAACAATTTGATTTTTTTTTTTTTTAATGTGTTTTTTCATGAAAAGAAAAGAAAAAAAAAGAAAAAGAAAGAGACTACAATTCCCCATACTAAACTTTGGTCCCCACTGACGCAAGAAAAACAAGATTTTTAACCAAAATTTTAAAAGCTCTGGAGAAAAAAAAATATTTTAATAATGAAAAAATCCTTTGGTCTTTCTGCTTGATAAAATACAGATTTTGATGATAAAACTTATTTTTATTATATGTTTGAGCCATTTTTTTTTTATCATGGTATGCTCTTGTTTGGTATCCACTTGTTAAAACATTTGGCTAATATATATATTTAAAAATATGATTCCAACTCGCGACATAAGAGGTCTCGTGTTTCAAAACAAGCCGAAAACTTCAATATAATTATTTGAATTAAATTGAGTTAAAGTGAGCTCTGTTTCATCTTCAAGCGAAATTTTTTTGGGAATCAAAAGTTTTTGGAATTTCTCTTGAAGATGGAACAGAGCTCACTTTAATTCAAATAATTATATTGACGTTTTCCGCTCGTTTTGAAACCCGAGACCTCTTATGTTGCGAGTTGGAATCATATTTTTAAATAAATAATTATATCTATGCTCTACTTTTGTATCGAGCACTATTTTCTAAAAATAATAACTAAAAACTAAGGAACTTTGGATTATTTACCTAACCAGTTCCTTCCTATTTATATTTATATTTATATAT